CTGACTCTTGGTTGAGGTGAGCCTTAAAATTCAATACACCAGACTACATTTTCCCCAAGGCTGGGCCCAAGGTAATCTATGGGGTAATCTATGGGTGGCTGTGGGCAAAGTCTGTGGTCTAGGGAGATATGAATGGTAACATATAATTGCATGGAGTCGGGATATTTCAGTTCTAATCTTGGTCCCCCACATAAAACTGTGTGTCCTTGGGGAAGTCACTACTAATCTTTTTTTTTTTTTTAAGTAATTTATTTTTATTTTATGTGCACTGGTGTTTTGCCTGTGTGTTTGTCTGTGTAAGGGTGTCAAGTCCCCTGGAATTGGAGTTACAGACAGGTGTGAGTTTCCATGTGGGTGCTGAGAATCGAACCCCAGGTCCTCTGGAAGAGCTGCCAGCGCTCTTAACTGCTGAGCCATCTCTTAAAGCTGTTACTACCCACATTTAGGCTTGTTTCCTTGTCTATAAAATGTAGAGGTAAGATTGGGTGATCTTTCAGGTGATCCTTCTGTTTAGTGCTAGGTGGGGTGGTACAGGTGTATAATACCAGCACCTGAAGCGCTGAGGCAGAAGGATTGTAAATTTGGGCTACAAAGTAAGACAGTGCCTCCAAAACTGAAAGAAAAAAAAATTCTACTAAAAGTAAATAGTGGCAGATACTAAAAGTGTGTGCATGTGTTGGTAGCATAAAAGCCCTCTGAACCTGTGACTGGAGACTTCTTATTATCTTTGCTTCAGATATTGGTGGATTCTTTGAAACTGGCACATGGATGCGCTATAACCTCCAGTCTGCACTGCGCTCTGCAGCCCGGGAATTCTCCCACATGTTGAGCAGACCCGTACCAGGCTATGAGCCTGGCTATATTCCGGGCTACGACACCCCAGGTTATGTGCCAGGCTACCATGGCCCTGGGTACCGCCTGCCCGACTATCCACAGCCTGGGCGGCCTGTGCCAGGGTATCGGGGGCCTGTCTACAATGTTACTGGAGAGGAGGTCTCCTTTAGCTTTAGCACCAGCTCTGCTCCTGCAGTCCTCCTGTATGTCAGCTCCTTTGTACGTGACTACATGGCTGTGCTCATCAAGGAAGATGGTAAGTTCTTCATGGCTCTTCCTCCAGGTGTCTAAAGTCCCATTGCTACTGACTGACTAATGACTAATCCAGTCCTTTGGAAGATGGGGGTTGTGAGGGCTGAGAGGAGACCCCACGTTCCTCCTCCTTCCCCACAGGGACCCTCCAGCTTCGGTATCAGTTGGGCACCAGTCCCTACGTGTACCAGCTAACCACTCGGCCAGTGACTGATGGCCAGCCCCATAGTGTCAACATCACCCGGGTCTACCGTAACCTCTTCATCCAGGTACAGGTGGGAGGGGATGGGCCAGTTAAGTCACGGCTTCATGATCGTGGCTGTGGCACACCCAAGAAAATGTTAAATGGTTGCAAGTCTGAAGCACAGTTCAGTATACAAGGCATTTTTGACATGTGTCACCTCTCATGACCCTTACATCAGCTCTGTGGAGTAGCTGTGGTTGGCAATTATTCTGAGCTCCATTTTACAAACCATTACACAGGGTGGAAAAGTCAAGTGTTTTCCTCAATGTCAAACCCACCAGGCCCTAGGGTTGGCGGCGCGCTTGCTAACATTCGTGAAGTTCTGGGTCCCACCTACAGCACTGCACAGGCTGTGTTTGTAATCTCAACATACTGGAGGGTGAGGCAGAAGGATCAGAAGTTTATGGGGGTGGGGATGTGGTACTGGTGACCTCCAGACCCTGAAAAAAAAAAAAAAAAAAAGAAAGAGAGAAAGAAAGAAAATGTGTAGCCTTTAATCCCAGCACTCAGGAGGCAGAGGCAGGCAGCTGTCTGTGTTTGAAGTCAGGCTGGTCTACATACATAATGAATCCAGGACAACCAGGGCTTTGTAGAGACCTTGTTCCAAAAAATAAAAATAAAATGTGAGAAGAAAAAAAGTCAAACTACTAGTAAACTGCAAAGCCAGGGGTCAAAGGCAGATTGTTTGAGCCATGTGTCAAACCCTGCCTCTGGGCCCAGGGGTTGTTCATTTTGAGCAGCGATCCTTTGGGTAGAGTGAATTCCCTTCTGGTCTTGGCTGTGTCCATCCAGGGCTTCCCTCCCTCCTCCCCCAGGTGGACTACTTCCCACTGACAGAACAGAAGTTCTCTCTGCTGGTGGACAGCCAGCTGGACTCACCCAAGGCCTTGTATCTGGGGCGTGTGATGGGTAAGCTGCTTATATGAGTTGGGGGCGAGTTTCGGATGAGGCTCCTGGAGTACAGAGTAAGGAAGTGGGGATGAGTAATGGATAAGAAAGATGGGCGAAAGAGAGGCAGGGGCTCTGGGTGCCCCAAACACCTCTTTCTGGGTCTGCCTCTCCCTCAGAGACAGGAGTCATTGACCCAGAGATCCAGCGGTACAACACTCCAGGTTTCTCGGGCTGCCTGTCTGGTGTCCGGTTCAACAATGTGGCTCCCCTCAAGACCCATTTCCGAACCCCCCGCCCCATGACTGCTGAGCTAGCAGAGGCCATGAGGGTCCAGGGAGAACTGTCGGAATCTAACTGTGGAGCTATGCCACGCCTTGTCTCAGAGGTGCCACCAGAGCTTGATCCCTGGTACCTGCCCCCAGGTAAATCCCTAGATACGGAGGAACACAGACAAAAGGGGGGGGGGGTAACGGTGATGGGAAATGACTCTGAACGTGATGTTTCCTAACCAACCCTTTCTTTCTCCTTTTTAGATTTCCCATACTACCATGACGATGGATGGGTGGCCATACTCTTAGGCTGTGAGTACCACTGACTACTAACCCGACTTCCCCAAGGCCACCCGGTCAGCGTCCCTCCCAGTTCCTCAGGGATAAGGGAAGGTACCAGATGTAACGTGAAGAAGGGCTAGACAGGCTGTGCCCACATCAGCATATAACTGGGTGGAGACTTAATATCTGAGGCAGCTATAAATTTTTAATTAAAATGAAATATTAAAACGCAGCCATTTTAATCCATGAGGAAACAGATGCAGTATCATCTATTGGAATGAGAAACTGGAGAAGCTGTGAGATATGGGAAGAATAAAGTGGGCGGGGGATAAGCCGAGAATTCAGACCTAGACACAGGGATAGCCTCACAGGGTCGTATACTGCAGTTGTACATGATGCTTTTGGCTGAGTGTGTATATGCGTACCCCAAAGACCTTCTCTGTGTTGTTTCTTTTTCCCATCCAGTTTTGGTGGCCTTCCTGCTGCTGGGGCTTGTGGGAATGTTGGTGCTGTTCTACCTGCAAAATCATCGCTACAAGGGCTCCTACCACACCAACGAGCCCAAGGCCAGCCACGATTACCATCCTGGCAGCAAAACTCCCCTGCCTCCTTCAGGCCCCGCTCAGGCCCCTGCCCCCACTCCAGCTCCCACCCAGGTTCCGACCCCAGCCCCAGCCCCAGCCTCTGGTCCAGGCCCCAGGGACCAGAACCTCCCCCAGATCTTGGAGGAGTCCAGGTCTGAATGAGTCATAAGGGCTTCAGGGACCAAGTCCAACTCCTCTAAATCCCCCGACTCCTTCCTCTTACCCTGCCAGGGACATTTGGCTCTTCTTAGCAGGCTCTGTTCACCCGGAGGATCCCCCCTCTTGCCAAGTTTGGTGGGCAGAGCTACAGATGGGACCAAAGGGAGTGGCCGAGCCTCACTGCCTAAACCAATGCCCTGCTTAACCCCGCCCCCTCCTGGCTGTTGGCCTGCCCCACAGGAAAAGCCTCACGCGGCCTAGACAGGCCTTTCCGGCCATCTCTGTCCCTGCTGCTGGTAGGGATTAACAAGGGAGGGCAGGGACGATGGATCGCCTCCCTTCCTGTGTACACTATCAGCAGGGACAGAGTGGGGATTGCAGGACTGCACAGGGCATGGGGGGAGGCTGCTAAAACCCACTCCTGAGCCTCCCCTCCCTGCCCTGCTCACCAGCTGTCTTCCATCTGCTTCCTCTCTGCTGGGGGTGAGGGAGGACTTCATGCTGTCCCCGCCTCACCCAACCCCTTTTGTTTTACAGAGACCAAGAGGCCTCAGCTTAGCACTTTAGTACCCCACTGCTCCACAAGCTTCAGCCAAAGCCATAAAAAGCCTGCAAGTAGAAAAAGTAACGCAGACACCTTGCCTAGCCAGCCCTCTATCTCCCACCCCTTTCCAAAATATGCAATAGCCTTGGTGCCTGTCCCCCTTCAATGCATGAGGAACCCGCTTCCCTCTGCTAGAGACGCTGCTATGTTTGCCCAGGAGGTCATATTCTTTATATATATTTTTTGTTGCACAGTCTCTCTCTAGAGAAACTAATATATTATTCTAATTTTTAAATTACGTTTATATATAAAAAGAACTCAGTGGGCTGTCCTGTACTGTGCTGAAGTCTACAGTAAGCTCTTTCTGTGCTGGATGTCTCCCGAGTCCTGCCAGCCACTCACCCAGCTTGCTGGGCTCCCATTCAAAGTCAGGGCGGAGCCCGTTCGTTGTGCCCTCAACTGAGCAGGTCCAATAAAGCAGAGTGGCAGAGCCCCAGTCTGTGTGTGATAGCTAACGTCATGGTCAGGGGATAAACGGAGTGGTTTTTTTCTTTTATTGCCTCCCACTAAATATTTTACTCATGAGGAATATTTTACTCTGAGAGCTTAGAAATTCCTAGTCCTCAAAACCTGTGTATATAAAGTGGATGGTAATAGTACACACCTTTAATCCTAGCGGTCAGGAGGCAGAGGCAGGTGGATCTGTGTCTGAGTCCAGTCTGGTCTACAGAGCAAGTTCCAGGACAGCCAAGGCTACATAGAAACCCTGTCCCTAAAGACCGAAACCCAATCTATGCACCCACCAATGGTTTCCCCTGTCACTCCCCCCCCCCCCCCCCCCGACCTCAGAGGATAGCGGGATCAGAGAGCTGAAGTTTCTGCTGCCAGGCCACCACCTCTGGTCCTTCCAGCCCAAGCACACAGGACACAAGTTGCCAGAATGGATTCTAACACTTTTATTAGGTAAGAGGTCACAAGCCACAGGACTTTAAAGTGCAAGAAATTCACTGGCAATAAAGCCACATGTACACCAGCTCCCCTCCAGTCCACACCACCTCTGCGTTTCCATCATCTTACACGAGGTGGGGCAGAAGTGGGGAGGAGGGTTGGGACCCGTCATTAAAAGTAGAGGACAGCAGGGACCAGGAATGGCGGCTGGAGGAGCATGAGTATTTGTGGCCTGCTAGTGACTGCTGAGGGAAGGCGGAGGTCAACCTAGAACCAACATGTTTTAAAGCATTCCTCATGGCCAGGCCCTTGTCCGCCTGTCTCTGGTTTTTCCAGAGAATTGAGTAGTTCAGAGCCTACGGGTAGGCTTGAGGGTATCCCTGATACTCATAGTAGACACAAACCACTGGCAGACGTCAATTTCAGAACTGTGATGGGGGCTGGCCCAACTTGGGCATGGTGAGAAGCTACTATCAGAAGCTGTTGGGTACGTGCTGTGTGAGGCACAAGTGCCTACCAGTGCAGTGAGGGGGGTGTATATGCACAAGCATGCAAGTCCCATGCAAATTCCTAAGAGGCAGTATGGCCAAAGGAGCCTGGCTTCTTTGGTGGGGCAAGAGGAGCTGACTGGTCCATGGGAGACACTCTGGTTCCAACACTCCCTAGGTCAGCTGTGCCTGCCTGGGTCCTTTCTACCCAGAATGATGCCCCGGTTCTCAGCACACCAGACCCAAGGCAGCTGTGCTGACCAGTTTTTGTTCTCGTGTCAAGCCAGCTCCTGCCTCTCTCAGGAGATGAGCTAGAACTGGAAAACCTTCCACTCCCCTCTCCCTCCTTCAGAAGCGGGATTTGGGCAGGGACCCCAGAGACCTTGGCTCAAACTCTACTGCAGTCTATAGACCTTCTAAAAGAAAGTTAAAGTGCTTGGTTCTGCATAAATCTCAGAGAACGGTAGTCTGCCTGCACTGTGACACCCTCCTGAACGTGCAATGGCATCCCTCACCCACCCCTGAACACTTACCAACAGCAGGTACTCCAGACGGAGTAAAGCACACCAGCAACCGCTCCCTCTCTAGTCTAGACTAGACACAGCTACCCTGAAGAAAGACGCAAAGCTGCTCCATGGACCTAGCTCTGAGGAGCAGAAGGCCTGAGGACAACTGCAGCTTAGTGACCCAGTGTGCTTACTCTCAGCCAGGCAGAGCATGCTCAGCAGCCTGGGCCTGCCGCCACTGAGCCAGAACTTTGGAAGGAGCTGGGTCACTGGTGCTAGGAGTCTGAAAACACCCTTCTCCCCCCATGGTCTATAACACAGGCTTTTCCAAGCCACCTGAGCAGGCTCTGGCTGGCTCTCCCTCTGTCCACAGGAGGGTGGCACTTAGCTTTCCCTCCTGCAGCCTTCATTTCTGCTTTGATGTCAGAGACACATTTCCCTCTCAGTTCTCTCGGTAATGCCTGTCAGGCTCGCCTCTAACCCTGAGCACCTGTAGGCTCACTTAGTGAGCCTGACGGTGGCACAAGGACTCGACTGGGAAATCTAAATTGGTAGTGCTGATTGATTCCTGAGGCCCACAGTTTGGGAGCGGAGGAGAAACAAGCCTAGATATCCACCCAGCCCAAGGCCTCCTCTTCTGATCTGGAGGTGCCCTTCTCACATCCGAGGTCTCCTAGGAGACCGGGTCTTCACCATCTGCCTCCCTTCTTGCTGAGGCAGTGTGTTTCCTTGGGGTACAGTGGAGGTCTAGTTACTCAGCAGTGGGCGGGCGTTCTCCGCGTGGAAGACATTGCAGGAGCAGGAGCAGCAGCGGTGCGGGCCTAAAGCCAAGACGGTGCCACTACCACAGCACTGTCACAGGACCCGCAGGGCTAGAAGACGTCGGTCTCCCTCTCAATGCCCACATACTTGAGGGCATCAGCTTGGCTGTACCTATCCCAGATCCAGGAGGAGGAACTAGATTACTCTGATTGGTAAGATAAGGTCCCCTCCTGTTTCTCTTCCTCCCCATTCCTAGCAGCCACCTCACCTATAGTCAAAGAAGAGCTCTTCGCCAGCCTGAATCGCTCTCTTGGCAAAGATCCCGATGCGGTGATCTCCATTCACCATGACCACTACAAAGAGGAGAGGAAAAGGCTGCGCTAGCTTACCGGCTGCTTCTGAATTTGCTACTGTAGCTAATGACTTTGGGGAAAGCAGTGACCTTTAAATCACGATGTGGGAAAGCATTTTTAATGCGGTCAGTAAAAAAAAAAAAAAAAAAAAAAAAAAAAGCAAAGTATGAAAGTGAGAGGCCTAAAATGATGTCAGATATTAATCATGAGTATCCTTGAAAAAACCTGAATGATGAGCTGAGTGGCAGTGGCGCACGCCTTTAATCCTGGCACTCAGAAGGGAGAGGCAGGCAGAGCTCTGAGTTTGAGGTCAGCCAGGTCTACAGAGTGAGTTCTAGGACAGCCAGAGCTAGACAGAGAAACCCTGTCTCAAAAAAAAAAAAAAAAAAAAAAAAAAAAAAAACCAAAACAACAAAAAATTTAAAAAGCTGAATAATGGATAAAATCATAGTGAATGAGGTATTTAGCCCACCCCACTTCCTAGGCTACTGAAGGCTCACTCACCTTTGGCATAACAGTTGGGATTCACTGAATGGTTTGCAAAGCGAATTTTGTTTCCTTTCCGGGTAGCATCCACTACAAAATCTACATGACATAAATCAAAGAAAATCATGAAGTGTCCCAAGAAACGCTATACTTTTTACCCACCCTGGGGGTGGATGGATGGACAGACTAAGGTCTAGCTCTGTGGCCCAAGAACAGATGGCATAATTCTCATGCCTTAGCCTCCCCTAGTGCTATGATTATAGGAATGTGCCATTATGCCCCTTTTTCTTGGTTGGAAACAGGATCTCCACTTGCAGCTCAGGCTGGACTCAAATCTGTGCTATTTCTCCTGTCCCAGCCTCTCAAGTGCTGGGATTACAGGTATGAACCATGTACCTGGCTTCCATCCCACACTTCTTTAGGTCTAGTTTGAAATCAGTTAAGTGGTAACACCAACAATTTAGTCCGGTGGGAACATGAAGCCCAGAATGGTGACAGGAGACAGGAAAAACGCATGGCCTGCCTCCTCACTCCCACCTAGTGGGTAGGGTATCTTCTCAAGTAGAAGTGCCCAGTGTTTCCATTCCAAACACAACTCAGAGATGAAGCAGAGCCTATGGGGCTTCCACGTTCAACCACAGCACTTTGTTTTTAGTAATCTGTTGGAAAGACTGAGTCTGATTTGAACCTGGAAGACAGCATAGGCTGCTTAGTGTGAAGACTTGCACACGATCACCTTGGTATAAAAGGGAGGCCGTGCCGTACCATTGTTGAGGTTGAAGAGGAAGCTGGACATATATTTATCATAGACTTTCCCTCGCCGATCAGCCTCATCCTGAGAGATGAGCTGGAGGAGCAGACAAGGAACAAGAGGGTGTCAGGCTGCCTGCTCAAGGTACACCTGTATGAGCTGGGTGAGGCAGTGTAGGACAGCAAGCTCAGGCTACACCAGCCCCATCTCCACCCAGGCTCTCCAGGGTGAAGGCTGGGGAGAGCCAGACACCAATGCCTGACAAACAGCGGTTTGTTTCAGGACTGCAAACAGTTCTGTGGGGTCCCCTGAGAGGCCACATGAAAACTGGGCTGAGTTATTTAGAGATTAAGTCACAGAAGTCTAACCCACAGAAAATCAGAGAGCTTCTTGTCATTCCCTTCCCAGTAAGACTGTGGGCTGAACCAGGAACACTCACCTCACCACAATATTCAGAAATGAATTCATTCTTCTGCACAGACTCCTTGATGAAGGTGCCCCATCCGGCCACATCAGAAGGGGCCAGCAGCAGGTGCTGGGGGAGAGGGAGGCAAGCCTTAGACGACAGGGCAGGCATGAGTGGGTGTGAGTACCCCACCTGCACGTGTGTGATGGGAGCAGGTGGAAAGAACTACCAACTGCCAGGGAACCTGAAAACCATTCTGCTCTTGCGGGGGGGACGGGGGGGGGGGGACGGGACGGGGGACACGACACACGACCGGAAGTGGAAAGGAAAGAGGGCACTTTCCTCCTCTCCCTTGGGGACCTCCCAGGCTGAGTCTGGGCATGCAACGTAGGAAGCAGAAGGGGCAACACGGGGGCTGGGCGTGGCGTCCAGTGGTAAAGTGCTGGGGGAGAACAGAATGTAAGCATCCTTGGTTCACAGCCCTCTGCTCCTTTAGGTAGGATCGGAAATTTGATTAATTTGACCACTGACACATTTTGTCGAGCCCTTTCACACACAAACCCTCTGAGGAGCGAAAGGAACAAGTGACACCTGGGGCCATGGACCCAAGAAAAGACCTCACCTTTTTGAGGCCACGCTGGATGCTGCAGTTTTTGCAAGATACCACCTTGCAGTCCCAGTGCTCTGAGGCCCCACAGGTGAGGCACAAGTCAGGGTCACACTCCCGTACTGCCAGATAGCAAGGACACTGCTTGGTATTGCACTGAGTCTTACAGCGACAACCAGGAAAACGATTCTGGCCTGAGTGGGGAGATGGGGACGGTTATTAGGAAGCAGGCCCACACTGGTGCAGGTCAGACTCAGGGGCAGCAGAGGAGTAAATGTGACATGTTAAAGAACTCTTAGCAGAGCGGCACAAGAGTCCTTCCCCTGTACAAGAGGCCTTTCCCTTACACAATGGAGTACCTCCTCGGGGCTCAGGAGATGCTTCCATTGGTAAAGTTCTTACCATGTAGACATGAGAAACCAAATCTGATCCACAGAACCCACATATAAAATCCAGGCATGGCCACGCCTCCATGCTGGGAAGGTAGAGACAGAGGGATTCCTGGCGCTCACTAACCAGATAGCCTTACCCTAATAAGCAACTCCTAGTTGCAGTGAGAGATTCCATGTGAGAAAACAAGGTTAACTGGCTCCCAAGGAATGACACCAAGGCTGACCTCGGACCACACATGCACATACATGCGCACTCATGAGCGCACTTACACAAATATACAAACTATGAACTAATTCCCAACATTCAAGTCCAATAGACAAAAAAAAGCAGGTCACATGGAGATTCCCCAACAGGGCCCCCTCTCATCCTAGTTGATAGGATTTGGAATTGAGATGGAGAGAACCCCAGAAAAAATGAAATCAGTGCTTTTCACAGTAAGTCCTCATCAAAACAAGTATCATTTTGAGAACTGAATGTATCCGTTCTGTACCATCCTCCACCTGTAGCCCTCCCCAGCATTAGCACTTAAGTGTTGTGGCTAAGATCATTATCTGTTCCTTGTTAGGTGACAATCACAGCATAGCTGCCTGGGCACTGCCTTCTGCAAGCCCAGAGGCTGCCATTAATAGCACTACCCAAAGAAGAAGGGTTAGGTGGGATCAGAATTGAGAGCTACTTTTCTGCTGACCCCCAGACTTCTGTCTCTTACTAGATATGATTGTACTTATTAATGTGTGTACATACTTATTACTTATGTGTGTACATACTTTTTTTTAAAGATTTGTATTTTATGTATATAGAACATACATACACACATATTTATTTTGTAAATATTTATTTATATATTATTAGTACATGTGTATGCCTGATTATCTATGTGCAACACATGCATGCAGGATCCACAGAGGCCAGAAGGTGGTGGCTGACCTCTCTGAGCTTTAGTTACAGGTAATTGTGAGGGTGCTAGGAACAGAACCAGGTTCCCTGCTTTTAACCACTGAGCCGTCTTTCTAGCCCCCTAATACTTATTTTTAATTTTAATTATGTGTGTGTACTTGTGGGTGACTATGTGCACCTGAATACAAGAGCCCTTTGAGGCCAAAAGGTGGCATCAGATCCCTTGGAGCTAAAACTATTATTTCCTTGTAAGCTGCCTGATGTGGGTGCTGGGAACTGAAATAGAGTTTTCTACAAGAACAGAGTGTACTTTTACCCATTCCAGCTCCTATGAGATAGTCAAACTCCTAAGCTAAGTATGGTGGTACACGCCTTTAATCCCAGCATTCAAGAGGCAGAGGCAGGTAGATCTCTGTGAATTTAAGGCCATCCAGGACTGCACGGTGAAACCCTGTCTCAAAACAAGACAAAATACAAAACAACAACAAAATAAACTCCAGCTAATATGTTGAAATGAAGGCTCTTTACCCAGCTCAATTAACATATGTGGGAAAGAATGTGTTTTAAAGAACTCTAGCTGGGATAAGATAGACAGTCATAGGTCCAACCCCTAGAACCACAACCATTCAGTCTTCAGCTATTAAACAAACATAAAGGATTCTCATATGGGTCCAGGGTGGTAGCACATGCCCATAATTCCAATAGCTGGGAGGGAGGGGCAGGAGTTCAAGGTTAGGCCTGGGTTATCAAAAACTCTCAAAATCCCAAGACTTCTCCGTATTCTTTTTCTTTTCTTCAAACTTCTTAAAAATTCTATTTGTTTAGAGGGTGTGAACACTGGTGTAGGCACACCCTACCATTCACATGTGTGGAGATAAGACAGACATTGTGTTGTTCTAGGGACCTGACCAAGGCATCCTGGCAAGTTTGTTTTGCTGCCTTTACCTGCTGAATCACCTAACCAGCCATCTTTTTTCTTTTCTTTTTTCTCCTCCCCCCTCTCCCTTCCCCTCTTCTCCAGTTCTGTTATGAGGCAGGGTTTAAGTCTCCGCCCAAGTGATACACCTGCCTTCCTCCCACACTAGGGTTAATAGGTATGTAACACTGTATCCACCTAAACAACTCTGCTGGTGATAGGGGTTGAAACATGGTTTCATTAGTAGCACAGGTTGGCCTTGAACTCTGATCCTCCTGCCTCAGACTCCTACAGTGGAATTCCAGACCTAGTTAGTTACATACTATCACACTCAACCCACATAACCTTTTTTTTGTCCACTTTTATTTTTATTTATATGTATGTATGTGTATATCAAGTATGTGTGGATGCCCGAGGTCAGAAGTATCAGATAATTCCTAGAGCTGAAATTACAGGTGGTTTTGAGCTGCCCGACATCAATGAGGAGAACCAAACTCAGGTCCTCTGGAAGAGCAGAAAGTGCTTCTAACCACTGAGCCACCTCTCCAGCCCTAATGCTTTTTAAAAACAACACCCTAAAGAGGAGACTGTGAATGCACTGCAGGAAAGGCTCCTGTTTCAGGGTTCTCCATGAAAGGAGAAGATGGGAGAAGTATCATGTCTAGTTCCTGATTCCAGAATTCCCACCTGACTTTCACAGCTGGGAAAGGTGGCACAAAGCTGTAACCTCAGCTACCTAGCTAGCCATGGAGAAAGGAAAACTGCTTGAAAATACAGGAGAGTAGGTAGGGGAGGGAGAGGAGAGTTGGGAGAACAAGGAGAGACTTTGTGAGCCTAGGAGTTGCTTTTATAAAGTAGAAAAGGGGTTAGAGCGATGGTTCCGCATCAAGGGGAACCAGCTGCTCTTCCAGAGGACCTGGGATTGATTCCCAGCACCCACACAGTGACTCACAACTGTCTGTGACTCCAGTTCCAGGGGAGCTGACTCCCTTGGACAACAGGTATGCCCACAGGGAAGACACGCATGCAGGAAAAACACTGCTATACATAAAATAACAAAATGTCTTAAAAATAAAAACAGAACGACCAACCCCCTCACAACTTTGCAGATGGCTCACACCTTCCTTCCCTGTAGGATGCCTGAAGCATCATAGCAAAGAGATATCAAAGGCGTACAGACAGCTATGGGGCAGGAGGGAGCCTGGACACTCCAAGGCCAACCACTTTGGTTGACGATGGAGAAAGCAGGGTGCTCTTACAGTCTGGGCTGCACTGGCAGAACTTCTCACAGAAATTCTGGGTCATGATGCAGGGGCAGGTGCTGTCACAGGGTCGGTCCGGGTGGTCACAGGGTTGGTAGTTATACACCTGTGTGGAAGAGTTATCTAGAAGAGAACAGAGGAGGACACTGCTGCGACCAGGCTCCTTTGATGCCTCACCCCCCGAAATGTTCCTCAAATCAAAGCAAGCTTGTCCTAACCATGACCTTGCACACACTTAGCACCTGATAAAAATGGCTGACCCCTGTACACAAACATGTGAGGTATCTGCTTTGTGGGTAGGGTGTGCAGATGGCCCGAGATAACAAGGCAGCTACTCTAAACATGAGAGGGCATCTGAGCTGTAGCCGCTGGCTCAGCCCTTGAGATGCTGCAAAAAAATCTACAATCTGCAGAAGCAGCCAGGGTCAACAAAGAGCTGTAGGTGTGGCACAGTGGTAACCACAGGGTGAGGCTTCAGTCTGAACTCTGTGTCTATCTCTGTGTGTGCGCACGTGTGCCTAGGATGGAGCCCGTGACCTTGAACATACTAAGCACATACTAAGTCTGACCCACCCCCCACCTTTCTTCAGGTGAACTCACCTTTCTTCAGCTGAATTTTCCTGCAGTGTGCGGCCCACAACCTAGGAGGAAGAGAGAGACGAGACAGACAGGTCTGCGTCAAGTCCTCTGAAGATGCTGACAAAGGACAGTGTGCCCTGCTCTGAGGGACAGTCTGATAACGGAGAAGTACCCTTCCAGCGGTCATCAGCAGGAGGCACCTACCTCGGCATGCAGAATCTAGAGCCTGTCTAACAAAGCAAAACTCACACACAGCTGTCTCTTATCACAGTACTGCTCCTCCCTCTCCCTGCCTTCTCTTTGCCAGGCAGAGCTCTAAGACGGCAGGAGGGAAAGCCTTCCAGTGAGGAAGCTGACAGGGGAGAGAGACATAACTTCCTTTGTAGCTAGAGCTAGAGCCACATCCTTTCTCTGGCTAGTAATACACATCAGGGAACCTGGCTGTCAGAGTGATGGTTTTATTTTTCACATGAAGTCTCACCATGTAGCCCTGCCTGGCCTGATACTATGTAGACCAGGCTGGCCTTGAACTCACAGAGGCCCGTCCGCCTCTGCCTCTTGAGTAATGGGATTAACCATGCCCAGCTATTAACTTTCTTCAACTTCCGATTATTAAACACTGTTAATGTAATTCTGAAAAAACAACACATGCAAATATCTAGATAAAGAAAAGGAACAAACTCCTGAGAGGTGATAAGTAGAGAGGAGGGTCACCACCTAAGAAGGAGAAACAATCTTAGGGTAGGGTTACAGGCCAGCCATGTCCTACTGGCTAGAAACTCAAAAGCAAAACCAGGCAGCTAGTACAAGAGTCCTCAGTGTGAGCAACAGGGAAGGGCTGGCCCTAGTCACAGACCCTCAGGGTTACTGTGGACAGCAGCTCTCATCTGAGTGTCCCAGTGAGATGGGTTGGCTCTGCCCAGCGAGTGGTGGCCAAGAGGGAGGGAGGCAAGGGTGACTGAGAGGAGGTGAGACCCCGGACAACAGTAAGGGTTCTTTGTCATCCTTGCCTGTGTTTTCTCTTCTTCTTCTGCGAAGGGTTCATGAGCTCATCTGTTGGCAGCTTTAGGATCAGTGACTCCTTGACTGCAAATTGAAAGACCTAGAAGAGAAACCGACAGGACCAGTCACACCCTGGGGCCAGGTGACCAGGCAAGTGACTGGCTAGGCTTGTGAAGGATCTGGAATGTGCAAATAGTCATCTTTTTACAGAAAGAAACAGGGTATGGCAGGGGTGGAGGTCACTGGCTCTGAAGGTTAGACTGGGGAAACAGGAGTAGGGAACACAGCATCGCTGCCCATCACCACAGCCTGTCATCTCCACTCTTCACGCAGGGAGCTGCTCAAGCTCTGCCTCTTTCAGGTGCTGAGTGAGGCCTGATGGGAAGGGCGTCACTGGGTGAGCACTGGCTCCCTCTGTTGGCAGAAAGGTAGCAGACCTTGGCTGTCCATCAGGGCAGCACTTCAGGCAGGCTGCTTCCTCTTCCACACACTTCTTCCTGTACAGCATTTATTTTTCATCTCCTCTCCCTCTCCTTTCCCATTTACTCCCTCTTTGACTAAGGAACCTTCTGGTATCCTGTAAAAACTGTAACAGTACCAGGAAAAGATACGTTAAAAAAAAAAACCCACATATAATTCTACAGACTTTTAGGTGAAGGAACCTGTGCTTTGGGGTAGCAAGATGGCTCTGCAGGAAAAGCACTTGCCAAGCAACCCTGTGGACCTAACGCTAACCTAACCTGCGTTAGGTCCACAGATCCTATTGTTTAAGGAAAAGAACCAACTCCCAAAGGTTGTTCTCTGGCCTCCACAGAACTGCTATGGCATGCGCGTGCGCGCGCGCGCACACACACACACACACACACACTCACACACACAGTACACCATACACAGAGATACATACACACTAATAATACAATCTGAAAAAAAAAATGTGTTGCAAGGAAACAGACATGGGCTCCAAAATGGAAGTGTGAATCCCTTCTGTGCATACTTCCTTCACCGGTCACAGGGAAGAGCATGAAACAGGTTCTCAACCCTTCAGAAATGCCAGGCCTAGTAATGCTTGAGAATGTGCTCTTAGCAAAAGACCAGAGACCTGCAGAAGTCAGGGAGCATGTGACAGGGATCTGCTGCTGGACCCCCTCCTGCTGGACAGACTGGCGCAGACACCTGGTTCTCAGCTCTGGTCTGTACTCTCTTTTGAAGAATTTTATTGTATTTTCTTTTGTTCACGGTATATGCATGCTTGTGTTTGTGTAGGCTTGTGTGTACTGCAGTGTAAATGTGAAGGATGGAAGACTACTTTAAATTGTTGCTTCTCTCCTAATGTGTGGGGGCCTAAGGAACTGAGCTTGGGTCATCATGCGTTTTTTACCTGCAGAACCATCTTAGCGGTCTGCAGTCTTTTCTTGCCTCTGGAGCATCAGTAGCTGTTGTCAAACTGTGTTTCCAGGGATGGGATGAGGGAGAAGGCTGAGGGTCTGCACCCAGGTATTGGGGGTGGCAGTTAGAAAACCTAGGATAGGAAACCTGCAATAAAGCATGTGATGAAGGGCTTGGTGTGACAGCACACATTTAATACCAGCACTTGGAAGGCAGAAGCAAGTGGATCTCTGAGTTCAATGCCAGCCTAGTGACCCCCAGGTCAGTCAAACCTGTCTCAAACAAACAAACAAACAAAATACAATGCACACACACTCTCTCCCTCCCCTCCTCCTGACACACACACACACACACACACACACTCTCTCTCTCTAGACACTGGGCAAGGAAAAGAGCAGACAGTTTGTGATCAATGCCTCTCCATGGTCTAGAAGGAGAGATTTACAAGACTCTGAACTCAAGACAGTTTCTGTCTGGACACACCCTGCTAAGACAGTAGAGGGGTGACAGCTGAGAACAGAGGCCACATTCACCCTGTTGCTCTCAGCAAGTACCTGCTTGCACGTCTTTGTCCCCAGAAGCCTGGCTATCGAGCAGAAGTTGTTGAAGTAGGTGCCGTGGAAGACTCGGAAAAGAGATTCTTCAGCTCCAGTCCATTCCACAGGCTCTGATGGGGCTTCCACGACACAGAGCTGAGGTGGGGCTGGACTGGGTTTCTGTTTCGTGGGGGTCTGACAGCGAGAGTTAGCCTCTGAGCAAGGGAGAAAAACACAAAAATGTGGAGTGCAGCTGTGGGCCCCTGAGTCAGAGCACATCACCATGCCTGAAAAGGAGACAGTTAGGTTTGGAAGCATTAGCGGTCCCAACCCACGGGGGCACATCTGTAAATCCAGCCAGTCAACAGGATCAGAACAAGTTCAAGTTTGCTGCTAGCTTGGCCTACCTATACAGTGCGCTCTCTCTCTCTCTCTCTCTGTGTGTGTGTGTGTGTGTGTGAGAGAGAGAGAGAGAGAGAGAGAGAGAGAGAGAGAGAGAGATTGTCATTGCTTTTCCAGGTAAACTTGTAGAAAGAAATTATGTTTTTTGGTTTTGGTTTGGTTTTTCAAGACAGGGTTTCTCTGTGTAGTCCTGGCTGTCCTGGAATTCACTCCGTAGACCAGGCTGGCCTTGAACTCAGAGATCTGCCTGCCTCTGCTTCCTGAGAATTAAAGGGGTGAATGGCACATGTTAAGAGCTTGGCATCGACCCTGGTCATCTTCTGTTTACCTGAAGAACTGGAGGCCCAGTCATTGCCAGTGTCCCTGTCACTGTCTCCTTCTTTAGTGTCAGCCACAGCAGAGGCGGATGCACCGGAACACGAAGCACCGACCACATGGTGCCTTCGCCGGCGGCGCCCAGAGCACTTGGACCGTGGGTTATGGAGCATGGCATACTCCTTTGCTCCTTCCTGTGGTGAACACATTACAGGTAGGAAACAGGGCTAGGCACGAGGTCCCCAGGCTGATGGCACCATACAAAGGTTCATCTGTAACAATACTTTGGTTCTTATCTGTACCATCCAAGTGTGACCATATTTTGACAGTGATTAAACATCCCCAAAACATCCATTTTCACAGAAGATGTACCATATAATCTTAAAAAAGATAATCTACACATCTTCAGCTTTGAGTAATATATGAAATTCATTCTTGTGTTAGCTATCTGGAATTTAAGAACATCGCCTGTAGAGGAAACAAGGGTCAGAGTGGATGAAATCTGATGAATCCTGCTCTGTGTTCTAGTGTAGATACATGAATCAGGGCTCCTATTCCTAGGCCACTGCTCTTCACATATGACCACAAAGCCTGTTTCAGTAATATATGTCCAATCTCTGGATTAGAACATAATCAATGTTTAACTTAGAAGCTTCTCCCCGAGTCTACATATGAGACTTTGAAGAACATTATAAACTATAACCCAGATTGGTCACAGCTGGTTCCTAACACTTCTACCTTTTTCTGAAGACTAGGTACACTGATGGATGGCACACACCCCACCATGGGAAACACACAGCACTGGTTGCTTATATTCTTCCTCTTTTCCCCAGTGCTGGGAAATGTGCCCAGGCTTTGCACACATAGACAAGCGCTCTACCACTGGGCTACATCCAAGCCCAAGAAATAATTACCCCAAAGTACTGCTTACCATAAGTAAAACCAAGCCTACAGAGCTAACTTCTGAGAATCCTGCAATCTAAGAATAATGCAAGTTACACTCTGAAAAGAACAACTAAGTTCAGAATATGGATCAACTCACAGGACTGAACTTCCAGAAGAAGTAACAAGGGCTGGACACCAGCACTTGGGAGGCAGAGGCAGGCAGGTTTCTGGGAGTTTGAGGCCAGTATGGTTTGCAGAATGAGTTCCCAGCCAACAAGGGAAACGCACTGAGACCTTGTCTCAAAACCAACACCAAAAGGAGAAATGAATGAGGGAATTATTTGAGGTAAAAAGAGCAAAATATCTAATAGTCAGACATGTTTTCTGACCGGATGACATGAGTTTGAAAATGAAATCCAAGCAGATGGGCTAGGGATGTGGCTCACTGGAAGAGCTGTATGGATCAAGTATGTTCTTTCAGAGCTGGGTACAAGCCTGACGTCGTGGTCATCCCAGCATATGGGAGCACTGGCGGAGTCAGGACTTTCAAGGCTACATGAAACCCTGTCTCAGAAAGCCAACTTTCCCTCACACCCCCAGCTCCCCAAAAAAGGTGGCGGTGTGGGGGTGCAGCCACAGAACCCCAGCACTTGGGAGGCCGAAGCAGGCCTGAGCCTAGTCTGAAAACACCAAGTTCTTAAAGAAAACGAGAGTGAGCCGTGAAGATCAGGGTTAGAGCACTCGTCTCGCATGCTCGAGGATCTAAGTTCAATTCCCAGCACTGTAATAAAAAAAAAAAAAGTTAAAGGAAAAATTACAAACACTGGTTTACTGGTTTCTCTCCAGACCGCTTAAGTCTTTTGCCTCCTACTGAAGCTTTTAATGGAACCGAGTTCTCGGTTAACATTCCGAAGCCTTGCTCTGGCAGGGCTGGACATCTTGTTATGATTAAAGACACTGTAAGGAAAAACAAAAGTTGGGGGAAGAGAGCCCAGCACAAATGAACGTGTGCATCTGGCTATCTGAAGTTGGGCAGACATCCATGGGGTTTCAGAGTGGCGACGGTACCCTTTCGAGTTATAGAAGGGATGTACGTTGACATTACGTTGGGAGGAAAGGCCTGGAATAATTAAAAAAAGCATGGGCTCTGGATTTTGATCAGGGCCTGAATCTAAAAATGCTATAAACACTGACTTATTAATAAACTGTGCAAAATATGTGACTTTTATAACTCCTAACTTCTTTCACCTAGCTGTCATGAGGTTAACAGATAATGCATGTTAAAGGACAGCAAGGGACTTGACACACAGAAGGGCAAACTGGACAAAGTTGATTTCTTTCTTTTTTGCTATAACCACATAGCTCACTTCAGATGAGCAACATGTCCCTTCTGTTACCCTGCTAAAAATGTTCCCAGAGGCACTTGGCTTTACACTGTGGTTTGAACCAGAGGCAGAAACTGTATCAGGTAGTAAGTACAACCTTTGCCTGAGCACAGGCTATTATGTGGAGCTAAATAGTGTGACCCTCCTCTGGAAGCTGCTCTGGACAAGTACTTCAACACCCCCCCACAAGGTTACCTCCCCTTCCTCTGCCTGGCATCTGAAATGTAAAAACAAGTCACAACTTAAGCAATTTACAATCTCACTGTAGATTTATAGAACCCAAGAATATCTGGTGACCTCCAGATAACACCGGCACGTATAAAGTTACTGTTCGGTACTGTACACCTCACACAAATCATGTAGACTGTGGACGTTTAAAAGCAGCATGTCTGGGCAGGTGGCTCGGGGGCAAAAGTGCTCGCTCCACAAGCTTGCCGACCTGAGTGAGTTCATCCCTAGGACTCACATGGTCGGAGAGGACCAACTCCTCACACATGTGCTATGGAACACTTCACCCTACACTTGAAATTAATGACTGAAGTGAGTCTGACTACAGAACTACAAAAACTAGTTTCAGAAGACCAAGGCCCACTGAGACCTGCCAGTCAGTGAGAAAGGACACATGCCCCAGCTGACCAAGACCTCACTCAGCACACAGCCCTCCAATCCCCGCCTCCTGTTCATGCTTTCCGACCATACAAGTCCTTTGTGCTTCTGAGTGTCCAGACATGGGACTCTCATACAGCAACCCTATCTCTATCTTCTCAGAATGCTGGCCGTTGGACTTAGTGGGTCATTAGGAGAAAATATAGAGAACGTGGCTTTTACATTTATTTCTTAGATGCTACCTAGAATCAGATTCATCCTTGAAATCATTTTAAAATCAGAACTAACACTCCTAATAACAACAACAATAGGAGAATACTCGGGGTTTCAAATTTTTATGTTATACACACACCAACGATACCTTAGCTACCCCTTCAGCAAAGTGTTACATACTTTACCATGTCAAAACCTTCTGTTTCCCAATCCTCCATCTTTGCCCCATTGAGCAGCAAGAAGCCAGAATGAATGAAGGAATGGCAGTGAAGGAGTGAATGGTGGTTAGGCATTTGTGGGCACGCCTTTAATACCAGCATTTGAGAGGTAGAAGCAGGCAGATCTCTTAGAGTCAGAGGCCAGCCTGGTCTACAAAGCTAGTTCCAGGACAGGCTCCAAAGCTACAGAGAAATCTTGAAAAAAAAAAATGGCGGTCCATTTTTCAGTTACTTTACTCTCCTCTTTCTGCCCAACATTCTAAATCCTAAAGATTACGATGTTAACTGCTAAATAACCTTTGTTTGCACTTAGCAGAATCCAGAATGCCAGTGACAGATAAGATCATTACTGTTTAGTAGTGTGGAGTACTCCAAAGGTGAGAAGTTAATTAACTACCTATGTAACTAACTATATGAATAATCAGGAGGTTGAGGACCACTGAGATGTGCCAGTCAAGAGAAAAAAGGAGGGTACTCCCTGAATGACAAAGATCCTAGTTAATATGGCCTTCCTGTCTGCTCCTTCTTTCTCTCCCTGTAAGCCCTTTGTGTCCCTGAGTTTCCTGAAATGGTTGTTTGGGTTGTTTGCTTTTTTTTTTTTTTTTAGAGAGGTTTTTCTGAGACAGGGTTTCTCTGTGTAGCCTTGGCTGTCCTGGAACTCGGAGATCCACTTGCCTCTGCCTCCTGAGTACTGGGATTAAAGGTGTGCTCCACCACTGCCTGGAGACGGGTCTTAAGGTTATGTTCCCCCTCCCTTTATCCTCAAGCTGCCAGTCAGCTGTTGAGTATATCGATCTACTTCCCTTCACCTCTTTCTTTATGTTCTAAGCACTGGCTCCTGTGTAACAAGCAAGCAGACGTGGGTCCAGGCTATGACTGATCTATTCCCCTTAGATACACAGGACAGCCACAAAAGGGGTCATGAGGTTGGGCAGTCATGACTCAGTCCTTTCATGTGCTCTTCCTACAGCTGTATGTATTAGAGACGACAAAATAGACAGCATGTATACATAGGACACACACACACACACACACACACACACACACACACACACACTCTAGCACCGACACACACGTACAGCCCTCTTTGTTCAGAAAGTTAACAACTGTCTCAGCCTCTAAGTAGGTGATATTTAGAGCGAAAAATCCTTTATTAATGTTCACTTACCCTTAAGGGTGACGACACCATCCTACCACTTCTGGGAGCTCCTTAAGATTCCTGCAGTGCCACGGACTGACTCACTTAGCTTGTGTTCCCAGACACAGAAAGTTCAAGGACCATTTCCTGCTCAACTCTAAACAGTGTTAACAATGTCAGAACAGCTTAAGAACCTACCAGCAAAAGGAAGCAGTCTGCACCACATGGTTCTGGTTCAATCTTGATCTCTTTGTTCTTGCGTTTATATACATTAGGCGTGGCATGGAAAGCTGGAAAACAAAAAGCTGTGCAGTGTTTCCAAGGCTCTATCCATTGGACAGGAAGAGGGAGCAGGAAAACTGAGTTCGGGCACCATGGCAGCTATAGAATTTCATATGAAAGGTGACCGGCAAAGTACACAAAAGTTAGTTCTGATAGCAACACAATCCTTTCAAAGCCAGAAGGCACCAGAGGACAATCACGGTGCTTAATTAAGTTGTACCTGTCCATGCAAACCACATCACACTGTCACTGAGCAAATAAAAGACAGAACTGGAACTCTGCAAAGCCCTGGAGACCAGGAGCTGAGAACACAGACAGGGAAGAAGTTGGGGTGCAGCGGGAGGAGGGGAGCCCTCAGACAGAGTAGGCGTACTCACGGTGTAGGAAGCAGTCGTATTTGAAGCAGCGGCGGCAAAAAAGGGTATGGAAAGAGTGCAGAGACTGCTCCCGCTGCACCGACTTGGCGTTGGGGCCATCGATGTTGGGTGTGCACTGAGGGGGCAGTGCATTGGGGTCTGACATCTCTGTTAGCTCTCGATACCTGTAAAGAAAATAGAGCATTCCTCTCCAGGAAACTGTCTCCACTGTAGCAAGAGGGTTTGCCATCCAGGCCTGGCCTGCCAAGGGAGGAAAGGTGGTTTCTACAGGCTTGGCCGATCAGGAGATGGTAAACAACCAAGTGGGTACAGCACTGTGAGTCCCCGAACTGGGCATAATTAGCTGGGCGTAAGTATCAAATTAAGAAGGGGGCGGCTTGGGAAGTACAATGCTAGTTCAAGTACCCAGAAGGACAGAGTAAGTTTTCTGCCCAGATGTCCTCAAAAACCATTACAGAATGGTCCCAAAGGGCATTGAGAGGTAAGTAAACCTGTCAGAAGTGTAGGCAAACCATGGCTCACCATCAAAGGGGCTTTTTTGTTTTTGTTTCCCAAGTGCTGGGATTAGAAGGCCTGTGCCACCAACACCCAGCAACAGCGCTTTTTACTAACCAAAAAAACCAAGCTGGGATAAGGATTTGCCCACAAACCCTGGGTATAGCTTGAGTGGAACAGCTTTCCCTACCTCTCCTTCATGTCATCGGGGACACCATTCTCGGGGAACATTGAAGCAATGGCACTGAAGATCATGTCGTTTGGAAACTGTTTCTTGGGGCTCTTTTTGTTGCCTGAATTCAAAACAACAGTAAACACCTGAGTGCAGATAGACCTATTTGCATTTTTCCTCTTTGTCCAGCACAATGATTAGAGAGCTGCTGTGCTCATCCAAACACCAACCGTATTGATAAGAAAGCTTATGGTTCCTGTCAGAATCCAGGGGAAAGAGGAGAGTCATGAAGAGTGGAAGACAGATGAATCCTACCGTAACACTGGTGCTGAGGAACAAGGTCAACACTGCAACTTTGCCATACAAGAGAGATACTATCCTCGACATATGGTTGACATAACTCAGAGTTCAATAGTTTCTTTTTCCATTTTTATGTTTGTGTACATGTCTGCATATGTGGGCACATGTGTGGACACACATGCGGGTGAGGTCCTGAGGTTAATGCCTGGAATCATCTTCCTCTATTGCGCTTCCGTCTTATTCACTGGCCCACAGTTTTCCGACATGACTAGTCTCAGTCTCCCCAGCCAGTTTGTCCCGAGGATCCCACCTTTGAAGGCTGGAATTACAGACAGGCTACCGTACCCACTCTGCATTCATATGGGTTCTGGGGATCTGGACTCTGGTCCTCATGCTTGCAGAGGACCACTGAGCTATCTCCACAGCCCGGTAATATTGAATTAAATACTAGTGACATGGAAAATATTCCTAAAATTTAATTAAGAAGGTAAAAGTTTATATCACGCACCCACACAATTTCAATTTTGCATGAGCTGATTTATATATGTACAATTTAAAATCTATAAGGAATTGAAAATCTGATTATTTCTATGTAGCAAGATTGTAGTATAATTTTATTTTCTCCTTTATACCTTCCCAAGATTTTCCAAACACATTAGAATTAGAAACGAACAGCAGTGATTATTACTCTAGAAGTTTTTCTACTTTCTTCTTCAGCTAGCTCACAGCCAGCTGAAGCTATCAGTTAAGGACTCTATTTCTCTTTTAAGTGGATCAATGAGAACCATGAATGGCTTTTAAAGAGCAGTGTGTTGTAAGTTCTTCCTTCTCCCCTGTCCTTGTCAATGTCAACGTTCTGTGGAAGCAGGGCTATGCACCTTCCATAGCGTGGCGCTTCCGCTTTCTTGTTACTGGCAGATCTTCTTGGCTGTCGTCTTGCTTCCCATCGGAGGTGTCATTGTGCCCTTCCTCCTCGTCATCTGAGTACTGGTTGAGGGCATCCACCAGCTCCAGGAAAACAGCATCACTGATCAGAACAGACCCAGGGATCATCTCTGAAACACAAGGATCAAGGTGAGCTCAGGTTACCTCACACTCCACTCACCTTCCCAGGTAGGTTCTTTCTCCCTTAAGACAGGGTCTTGTCAGGTGTGGTGAAACACACCTTTAATCCCAACGCTTGGGAGGCAGAGGAAGGTGAGTCTCTATGAGATTGAGGCCAGCCTGGTCTGTTAGTGAGTTCTAGGACAGCCGGGGCTGACAGGGTCTCCTGTATCCCAAGCTAGCCTCAGTGCTGGGATTCCAGGTGTGTATTACCATGTCTGGTTTTATGCAATGCAAACTCTATCAACTCGGGCAAATCCCCAGCGTCTAGGTAGGCTTTCTTACACCCACTCTTGAGGTCTAGGGATGTAGCATACTATTTGATTAGCTCTAACAATTGCAACAGTTAGATGGCTAAGTAGAAAACCCAGTAGAGGTTTTAGTTTTATTGGGTTATTCACATCTGTGGTCACTGCTAACAGTGTATTTACAGTTCAAAAATCTCAACAGCAAGCGGGGCACACACCTTTAATCCCAACATTCAGGAGGCAGAGGCAGGTAGATCTCAAAGTGAGTTTTTGACAGCCAGGGCTGTTAAACAGAGAAACCCTGTCTCCAGAGAACAACTACAAAGGTGTGCCAACAATCCCAAGCAAGACAGAGAAATAACTGCAAAGGGAAAACTCACTTGGCATTCTGCTAATGTATCAACAGTGACTTCTCTTATTCAAGACAGCATTTTTTCCCTAAAATCATAATTCATGGTTACACTGCAACTTGAAATAATGTCTTTGAACACTAGAGGGTGCTGTGGATGTATGATACCTTTGAAGGTTAGCGGAAATAGCAACACAACTGTCAAGAGTAGGAAGGGCTATTGGTTGACAAATTCACAGGGAGTCCCTCCTCTTCATACTTGTTTCTTTGGTAGTGAGGACTGAACTCAGGACTGTGGGAGGGTTAGCCATGCCTCTACCACTGAGCTATATGTATATACCCAGTCTTTTTTTCTGATTTGAGATGAGGTCTCATGAGGCTGCCCACTCTGGCACTGAACTTCCTATATAGCCGTAAGCAGGTTTTGAACTTGCAATCCTCCTGCCTCGGCCTCCTGAGTAGCTGGGATTACAGGGTGTGCCACCATGCCCAGCTCCTCTCCCTACTTTTTATTCACTGATAACCTTTTCTAGAATTAAAACTAAGAGCTGGCAAAATGGCTCATTGGGTAAAGGCTACCAAGCCTGGTGACCTGAGTTCAATCCCTGCACCCACATGCTGGAAGGGGAGAATGTACTCTCTGACCTCCACACCCATACTGTGGCACCTGTGGACCTCACCCCCAAAATACATGCTTTAAAACAATTTGAAAAAGAATTGTTACAGCTGGGCAGAGTACAGCTCCCAGTACTCTGGAGACAGAGGCAAGAGGATCTCTGTGAGTTCAAGTCCAGTCTGGTCTACGAAGCTGCACAGAAAAAGCTTGTCTTGAAAAACCAAAAAAAAATAAATAAAATAAAAATAAAAATAAAAATAAAAATGTTACAATGGGGGCTGGAGAAGAAAACTGAGTGTCCCAGAGGATTCAGGTCCTGGCACCCACAGAGTTGCTTCCAACCATCTATAATTTGAGTTCCAAGGGGGTTCACTGCCCTCTTCTGGCCTCCTTGGACATTGCATGCATGTGGTACACAGATGCAGGCAAAATCAGATACATAACACAAAAATTAATCTCACAAGAATTTGAAAAAATTACAACTAAATTCAAATGATTTGCCTTTCAAAATAAGGATATTTAAGTCAATCTCTGAGAAATCCAAAGGTACCTGGGTCAAAGTAGTACAACAGGAGATGTTCTAGCTGGTCTCAGAGAAAGGGAAACGGAAAATGAAATGGACTCTCCTGGACTTACGGGCAATTTAAGTTCACTTGTTCAATAAACACTCTCCTAGCCACTGATTACAAGGTAATTCTCTTTGTTTTTTTATAAGATACCTGATATCAATTTCTTTCTTTCTTTATTTTTTTTTAAGATTTTTATTTACTATATATACAGTTCTATCTGCATTATGTTTGCAGGGCAGCAGAGGGCACCAGATCTCACTACAGATGGTTGTGAGCCACCATGTGGTTGCTGGGAATTGAACTCAGGACCTCTGGAAGAGCAGCCAGTGCTTTTAACCACTGAGCCATCTCTCCAGCTGAGGTAATTCTTTTTGTGACCCAGCTCTTTCTGCAATTTAACTGGGATTTTAAATACAAAATTCTAATCCCAAACCACACCCTCACATTGGAATCTTCTTCAGCACACACACACAGGGGTGGTGGCACAGCGAGGACAGCAGACAGCTAGAAACTTCCTTCTGCCAGCAAGCCCAGCACACTACCTTCTTCTCCATGAACTTTGCCATCGTAGTTATTGATCAGCTCCTCGATAAAAGTTTCATCTTCTTCCTTCACCTCATCACCCATGTAGGGAATATTGCACAAAACTGTCTCGTCTTCCACCTGCAGAGAAAACCAGGTGGATCCATGCCGCAAGCTACCCCGTCTCTCTCCTTTCCTACCCAATGGAACATTTGCTAGCTGTTCTTTCTTTTGGCTTCCTAGTCTCCTGAAAAGAGAATCTCTGTTTTGCCAACAAAACCTCAAACAAAAGAGGCAATATTACTCTTAGGAGGAAAAATAGTTAAGTCAATATTAACAAATAATTCTAAAGAAGAGAATGGTGTTCAGCAGAGAACACAGACATATACCAAAGCTAAGCACATGCTCTATCACTTAGTTACACTCTCCAGGGCCAACCCAGCCATTCTTAAATCCCCAAGGATCAAGTAAAATAATTTGCAAGTTTTATCTGAGAGAGGACGCCCTCTTATAGAGCTGTATCCTAGCAGGAGGCAGGATAAAGGGCTTGATGAAGGCACCATTACCCAGAGCCACCTCTGTTGCCTTCTTAGCACCTTGCTATTAGAGGGGTCCAAAAGACCTGCTCCATCAGCAGAGCTGGCAGTCTGCTTAAGCCTGGAGAGTCTGATTCAGCCACATTTAACTATGACTAATATCACAAAGTTGGGTCAAAGCAGTAAGAAAATTGGGAGTCTTGTCCTATCTCGTTGATTAAAGGAAAAAAAAAAAAAAAAAAAAAAAAAAAAAAGCAGCAATCAGAAGAATATTTTAAGGAGCACCAAAATCTAAAAGGATAGGGCAACCTGCAGAGTGTGAGTGTGTGTTTGTGCGAGCTCATGCATGCACGTGGGGCACATCTATGTGGAGGTGAAGGACAACTTGCAAGGGTCATTCTTGACTTCTACCACGTGGGTTCTGGAAAGAACTCAAGTTATCAGGCGAGCGGCAGGTGCTTGTGCCTGTTGAGGCTCTCAGTGACCTATAATGTATATGAGTTTAGAGAGATGCCTGGGCTTTGTAGAATGCCCTGACAATCTTTAGAAGCTCGCTCACACAGATGAGCATAACGGGACAACAACTGCCACAATGGTTCCGAGACTTACCATGAAGTTCTGCTGGAGAGGGGACCAGGAATACATGATGGGAACCAAGGCAACAGTGTTCAGAGACCTCATCAGCATATTCTGGCTGGCAAAACCTGGGAAAATGCTCTCTATGGTACACTGGAAGAAAAGCAGTCACAGAGAAGGAAAGTGAGCATACAACTCGAGAGAATCAGTGGGAGTCGGCTATGATGGCTCCATGCCTACAATCCCAGCACTGAGGAGGCTGAGCTGAGGCAGGAGAGCTGCTGTGTGTTTGAGGCTAGGCTAGGCTACACAGTGAGTTTCAGAGAAAAAACAATAAAAACAAAACTGTAAGAGACACACTGTAAAGTGGGTGGTGGTGTCCCACGCCTTTCATCCCAGCACTCAGCAGGCAGAAGCAGGCAGCTCTCTGAGTTTGAGGCCAGCCCTGTTTACAGAGTGAGTTCCCAGACAGCAAGGGCTGTTACACAGAGAAACTCCATCTTGAGGAGAGGGGAGGGGAGGGGGGAGAGGCAAAGCTTTTTATATGGAGTTGTGATAAACTCATACAAAACACTTTTTGTGCCGTGTTGTTTACTCAAGGAATAGGAAGGAGGAAATAAGCCTGAAAGCAATCGTATTTGTGGCTCATTCTGATTCTTATACAATATATATACCCTCCTTGGGAGGCTCTGTTTTGAGTTGGTGAATCTTGAATACAAATCAGTTACACAGAGAGAATCTGTCTTGAAAAACTAAAGGGGGGGGGGCTATAGTTTCCTTCCAAAAAGGTCTCAATATTTTCTTTTTTTCCCCTTAAGAGCCAAAATTACAGATGTGTGTCCTGTCCCTGCTTCATGCAGAGAGATCTTAGGCTCCAACCCAGGGCTTTACATGCACAGGCAAGCACTCTACTGACTGAGCACACTCCCATCCCTGTGTTCTTTTCAATCTCTTTAGATTTATTCTGAGTTGTGTTTTTCAGTGTGTGTCTGCAGATGAGTACAAGTGAGTGTAGGGGTCTGCAGAGGCTAGAAGTTATCAGACCCATGGAGCTAGAGTAACAGGGATTGGGAGTCACCAAAATGGGTTGTGGAAACTGAGCTCTGGTCCTCTGCATGAGCAGCATGTGCTCTTAACCACTGAGACATGACTCTAAATTCTCCCAAGCTGGTAAGAAGGTGAAGGGTGTTAGCAGCGGCCCCTGAAACCCATGAGCTGTGGAAAGCAGGAGCTGTCTCCTATTCGTGCCTGTGTCTCCCAGAATTCAGCACGACGTTTGTCATACTCAACGATGCTCACTTAAACCAAAGTGTGGTCTCTTAAGGGACCCTCAAGCCCCAGGGCCTGAGATCGGGCATGATCCCTGAAAGGTCTCAACTTTGGACACAGCAGCACAGGTGATGACCCTTTGCATGGGGAAGCAAATGGGGTACAAATTAAAAGTTGTATCTGTTTGGGGATTGATCATTCGTCTTTTTATACTACCAGATTTCTGTACTTAAAAAATATGATCAGGCAGTCAAGGTGGCTCATTAGGTTAAGATGCTGGCCACCAAATCGATGACCTAGGTCTAACTGCTGGGACCCACAGTAGGAAGAAAAGAACTTACCTTCATGCATGAGAACAAGCACATGCGTGTGCACGTACACATGTAAGCAAAAATAAATAAATACAATCAATAAAAAATTAAAAGTGTTGCCTTTTAAGAAGCTAGAATGAGCAGAAAGTGGTAGTACACATCTTTAACCCCAACACTCAGGAGGCAGAGGCAGGCGGATCTCTGTGAGTTAGAGGCCAGCCTGGTCTGCAGAGCGAGTTCCAGGACAGGCTCCAAAGCTATACAGAGAAACCCCGTCTTGAAAAACAAAAATAAAACAAACAAAAACAAAAACAAAAAAAAAAAAGAAAAAGAAAGAAAAGACAGGCTCTCAGGTAGCCAGGGTAACAGATGCCAACCTCAAACTCCTCATCCTCCTGAATTAGGCTGTAAAAGCATGTGCCACTATGTCCAGCCACAATGTGCTTTTTAAATTTATAATTCAATTTAATAAATAAGTGAGTATATTTATTCATAGTAAGGCAAATCCCTCTGAAAAGTACACTTCTGCCCATTACCTAGAGAATTCCTAGGATCTAAATTAGGCACAGAACAGGTTGTCATGTAGCTTGGGCACAAAACCCAGGCAAAGAGACGGTAAATGTTTTGTTTCTCTATGAAAAAGTCACAATTATACTCAAGAATCGAGGAGGACAATAGACAAAATGATTAATTTTCAAGCAAGATTTGTAACTTCGTGTCCAAGGAGAAAGGAAGGCCAGCTTAACACCCCCAAAGTACCTTTTTGAGGAAAGGATGTCCACTCACAGGCTTCATTGGCTGAACAGGCTGGACTCGAAGTTTCTTCCATTCTTCATTGAGGATCTGGGTTTTTTCTTGAACCTTTGCAAAATTTGCCACATACAGAGCCTAGGAAAGCCCAGGGAAGACTGTCAAGAGTCAATGCAGGTCTCAAAGGGAAAAATCCCAGAACCTATACTTTGGAGAAATGCACAGAACATACACCCTTGCTCTGGGAAGCCTTGTTTTGTTTTCTCTCCTTACCTTTGCTCCCATATTTGCCTGAAGCCGTTTGAGCTGCCGGAGGCGCATATACTCAGATTTCACTTTTCTTTTCCAGTAGGTGATGCATTTGGAAGTTGGGGGACTTGCTATATCCATTTTCCTGGACTTGAGAGAGACAGAGATGACAAACTGCACCTGATTACCAGGAAAGGAAGATGTCCTTAGACACAAATGAATACACCAATTATGTGTCTATTCTCATTAAATTAATCATAAAAATGTACATCTGAAAACACAAACATGCGAGTTTAAAGTTTCAGCTGAAAACAGGCTTTTGCAGGAGTATTTTCTGGTGCCTGTCATCCTTTGGTGACTTGTTTTGGTATCACTGTGAAAAATTCTAGTGCCTGTCATCCTTTGGTGACTTGTTTTACATTTAGTACTGGAAGCAGCATGGAGCGGCTCACTCAGCAATCTATTTAATGAGGTGTGTGGCTCTAGGTTCTAACCTCAGCACTGCAACAGAAACAAAGAAAAGGTTGTAGGCCATTATAGTGAATGCTGTAAGCCCCTCACTTGGGAGACAGAGGTAGGTCATTACAGTGAATGCTCTAAGTCCCTCACTTGGGAGACAGAGCAGGAGAATCAGGAGTTCAAGGCTGGCCTGCTCCACACAGCAAAACTGTCTCAAAACCAAAACCGAGGATGCAGCTCAGAAGCAGAGTAGTTACCTGGCAAAAAACAGGACCCTGAGTTCATTACCCAGGCAATCAATATGGTTGCCTCATAGTTATTAGGAACTTGATTTTTTTTTTTTTTTTTTGGACACATGGATGCCTGTTTACTAAATTCAAAATGTTTAAGGGCTTATTTTTGTTATTTTTTTAATTACACACACACACACACACACATATCTGTATGGATTTGTCCTAGTACTAGTGCTTGAGTTTTGAGTATTTAGACTCCAAGCTGTAGTCTCAAGCTGTGAACAGCCATTCAGTATGAATGCTGAAACCAAACCTAGTTCCTCTGGCAGAGCTACAAGCACAATGACCTGTAACTCCAGTCTTAAGGGATCCAACACCCTCTTCTGGCCTCCTTGGGTGCTTCATGCACAAAAGCACAGACATACAGGCAAAACACTCACACACATAAATAAATAAATCTTCTTAAAAGGAGAGAGGGGCCGGAAAGATGGCTCAGAGGTTAAGAGCACTGACCACTCTTCCAGAGGTTCTGAGTTCAATTCTCAGCAACTACATGGTGGCTCAAAACCATCTATAATGAGATCTGTTCTGGCCTGCCTGCATACATGTAGGCTGAACACTGTATATAATAAATAAATCTTAGAAGAGAAGGAATTTATTATTATTATTCATTGCTGTTGGGTCTGTGTGAGGCTAACGGATTCCCTGGAAACTGGAATTACAGACAGTTGTGAATTGCCATGTGGGTGCTGGGAATTCACACAGTGCTCTTAACTGCTGAGCCATCCCTCCAGCCCCAAATCCAAATTCATCTCACAAGCTTGATAGAAGATCCGCCTACAGTACAAACTATGTAAAGTATAACATGACAACAGAATAATCTCCTCTCCAAGTCAGCAGCAGATTACACTGTAACTTTCTTTTGGGGGTGGGGTTGAACTACAGTTGAGCATTTAGAGAATTTAGTGTGATATGCTCTACTTACCTCACGGAATACAGCTGGAAATGCTAGATTTTATAATGTGCCTCTGTTCTTCTGATGAACTGCAAGACCTAAGAGTAAAAGAAGTGCTCAGCTTTGCAAGAAAATAAAAAAAGGATTTTATTGAATCAGTGCAGCTTGCTGAAAACACTGAGCCCCTGGGCAGGATGCTCCCTGAAAATTAGAGGACTTCAGGGTCTTCGCTACCCTTCTGCATATTAAGTCAAGTCTCAAAGATGCTTGACACCCCCCCACACACACACACACACCTCCCATGACAGAGTTTCTCTGTGTAACAGCTCTGGCAGGCAGGCCTGGAATCCGCTTAATAGAGGACCAGGCTAGCCTTGAACTCACAGAGGAGGAGACAGATCCCTGGAATAGGAGTTACAGGTGGTTGAGAGCCACCTGGCTTGAGTACAGTGACTGAAATCAGGTCCTCCAAAAGGGCTACTAGTGTTCTTAGCTACTGAACTATCTTTCCTGTTCCTTAAGAATTATTTATATTTATGTGTCTGTGTGAGTACACACAAAAGCATGCAGGTCCTCAAAGAGGCAAAGAGAGTTTTGGATCCCCTGGAGCTGAAGTTACAAGTGAACATAAGACACCCAATATGAGTGCTGGGAACCAAACTCAGATCCTCTGGAAGATCAGCAAGCACCTCTCCAGCCCCAGGCAAAATTTAAAGTCAATAATGTTTTATCTTCTACCTACCTACCTATCTACCTACCTACGTACCTACCTACCTATCCATCTATCTATCTAGATTTTTCAACACAGGATTTGTGTAGCTCTGGCTATCCTGGAATTAGCTCTGGAGAGCAAGCTGGCCTTGAGATCCACCTGTCTCTGCCACCCGTGATCTGGAATCAAAGGTGTACGCCACCACCAAACTGCTAGATGAGTAAATGTTTAAGGATTTTACATGTTGTGATTCCTCCCCGCCCCCCCCCCCACTGCCCATGAAGTTCACCGTGTCTTAAAGTTGAAGTTCAAGATTTTTCCAAAGACTTTATTTTTGTTTTGTTGTTTTGACACAGAGTCTCTCTTGCAGCCCTGGCTGGCCTGGAACTCACTATGTGGACCAGGCTGGCCTTGATGTTAGTTAGATCTGCCTGCTCTACCTTCTCAGGGCTGGGATTAAAGAGGCATGTGTAAACAAGTCAAACAGCACATGGTTTCAAATCTAAGCGTCTTTTATCGGCACTTGAATTATGGGCATATTGACAACCTTAGAGTTCCCCATCTGAAATCTTCAGCACCTAATTTCTGAAAGCCTTTGCTTCTGCACAGGTTGACTGCCTGGTTCTCAACTGTTTCTTTGGTTTTGTGTTTTAAGACAAAGTCTCACATAATCCAGGCTGCTCTTGAACTCCCTATGTAGCTAAGGGTGACTCTACATCCCTGATACTCCTGTCTCCATCTCCCAAGTGCAGTGATTATAGGTGTCACACATGGTTTGTCACTTCTGCCCTGAAAATAGTAACAGCCTGCTCCAGGAAATGAAAAAGCACTTCAAACCACTGACTGGACAGGCTAACTCAGAAATCTTAGGTCATCTTTACTGAAACACAAATGTTGTAATTTACAATTCAATGAGACACCACAGCCTCCTTTAACAGTAGTTATCATTGCCTTCATTCCTCAGCCATCTTTCCTCCACTCTGGAACCCTTTTTTTTTTTTTAAGAAGATATGTCTTGCTTTGTAACCCAGGATGGCTTTGAAGTAGCCTCCCAAGTGCAAAGATTACAGGAACAAACACTTCATACTTTGAAATAATAGGCTCAGAACAGATCACTATTCAATTGGAACTGGAGATTAATAATGGGAAGAACTTACTAGACCAACGGCTGCTGCCAGTGCTCCAGTGGGGGTGATGGGAGAGTGAGAGTGATGGCTGTGGCAGTGGCCGTGTATGTTTAGACTGCGTAGAGGAAATGGCCACCAAGAAATGCCAGTATTTCCAATAAAGGAAGAGGTCATAACTGAAATGCTCTCTCTCACACACGGTCTGTTAAGAGCGATGGCAGTAATAGAATAATCCAACAATGAATAGCACCACTTCTAATTTCCCTCAAGGGTTTTTATTTGGCAAGGAATATACGCACATGAAAATGCCCTTAAGTTAACTAATCACACTTCCTCCTTGTACAACGTTTGTGATGTCTGAGTGCCCATGAGCCAGCATTTATCTATCTCACTTGGCCATCTTGAGTTACAAAGCCTGACGACCCAATTTCCACCTATGGAACCCACACCGTGGAGAGACACTACTCTTGAAAGACGTCCTCTGGCCTCATATGCACACACAAAGAAAAACAAAACAAAACAAAGTGAACCATGGTCACCACACAACCTGCTACAGCAGAAAAATGAAAACGCACCACTGAGAAGACCACACCTGGCCCTTCACTATTTTAATAACTGGATTATAGTTAATAAGCAAACTAAGAAAGGCTTTGGAGCCACACAACACTACAGCTTTACAATTTTTCATCTTGTTTTTAATTAGCACTTATTTTATGTGTTTGGTCTACATGTATGCGTGTATATGTGCCATGGTAGGGTCTGGTACCCTGAGAGTTCATAACACATTGTCAGATCGCCTGGAACTGGAGTTAGGCCCATGTGGGTGCTAAGAACCAAGTCATCTACAAAAGCAACAAAGACTCTTAACAGCTGAGTCATCTCTCCAGCCCTTTGTTTTTTCCTTTTCAATTCATAATAGAAATGAGTAGAGCTAAACCTACTCTGCATGTTCTAGAGTGTTTGTGTGAGTGTGAGCGAGTGTGTGTGTGTGTGTGAGTGTGTGTGTTGAAGTCATTCTGGTCTCAATTTTATCAACATCTGTATGAAAATTAGCCCTGAGGCAAGGAACACAATGGAACAGACCTTCAATTATGATAGTACTTACAATTTTGTGTTTATTCTGGTGTGTCCCAACGAGTGTCACATCCCAGGATAGTTATAAATGCAACCCAACACATTCCTTGTTGGCATCCTTCTATTTCTCCAAAGGATTTACATATGACAAGTTTAGTTACTGAGCACAATAGGCCTCTTATTACTACTTGGGAAGCAGAGTGAGGTGGATCTCTGAGTTCAAGGCCAGCCTGGTCTACAGAGCAAGTTCCAGGACAGCCAGAGCTACACAGAGAAACCGAGTCTCAAAAAAAGCAAACACCAGGATCTCATGTATTCCACCTAACCTCAAATTTGCTAGGTAATCATGGGAGACCTTGAACTGTGGGCCTCCTACTTGAACCTCCTAGTGCTGGGATTACAGGCATGTGCCACCATGCCTAGTTTGCTGTGAACTGGAATCCTAACTAAAGAACTGTAACATTAGTATTTCCTAGTGGTCAACAGAACCAGGTCACTGCAACTGGGGAAAACAGTGACAAAAATCAAAGCAGGGTTGGTTTTGGGAGGAGACTTTTATTTCTATTTCCAGGAATTGAGGAAAACGCTGGCTTGGAGAAGAGCTACAGGAGCCTGTTTCGGGCAGGGCCCTGCCTTGGCTGGTTCTGCACTACATCAGCATAAAGTTTAGTATCAGGGACTATCCGTTATTGTTTGATAAAAACAAGACTTCACTTAGACTTGTTTCATATAAGTATTAGATAAAGGAGTAAGAATTTAACGCATAAGCCAGAGGGTGGTGGCATACACCTTTAATCCCAGCACTCGGGAGACAGAGGCAGGCGGATCTCTGAGTTTGAGGACAGCCTGGCCTACAGAGCAAGTCCAGGACAGGTTCCAAAGCTACACAGAGAAACCCTGCCTTGATGAAAAAAAAATAAAATAAAATAAAATAAAAATAAAAGAATGAAAAAAAAAGAAGGACAGAAACTAAACGAAACCCATGACCCTGAGGTCTGGAGTACTGGAGTCTCAAATGATGACCTAATGAGACTCAAAGCAGGAACCTGACACACACGTGCACAAAAAGAAAACAAAACAACCTGGGACTTTCCAGAATGGAAGTATTTTTTTTTAACAGCAGGCTTGGGTCTGTTTGTTTTTCAAAGTGCTGGGGACCAAAACCAGGAGCTGGATCTCTAGCACAGACCTCCACTCCCTGCCAGTCTTTCCTTCCTCAGTTAGCCCTCCAATCTCAAAACTATAGAGCACCGCTGAACAGGCTTTCTGAAAGTAAAATTTCAATGTGAATTCCAGCCTTAGTCTAGAGGCCTTTCAAAGAGCAACAATGTAACTGCTGTCATGAAAAGGCACATTAACCTCAGAGTTTGAAAGCTGGGCTTTTAGCATCAAGCACCATGACTAGCCTCCATGGGCCCTGTAGGTGGCAGAATTAGGAACATACACTTTCTCATTTATGTACTCAAAACACTGTAGTAAGCACTTGCCATGTGCTGGATACTGGTTTTGGTGCTTGGGGTACATCCAAAAGTAAAACACACAGACATCTTTGCTCTTTAAACTGATTCACATCGTCTATCTGAAAAAGGGTCTTTGGGTAGTTAGTTGTATCCCCACCCCCCAAAAGAGACAGGGTTGTTCTGTGTAACAGCCCTGGCTGTCCTGGACCAAGAGATCTGCTTGCTTCTGCTTCCTAAGTGCTGGGATCAAAGGTGTACCCCACCAGGCCCAGCCCCAAACATAAATCCTGACAATCGTATTATTGCAGGTTTCTTTCCTCTTCAAACAAGCACTCACTAAATGCTCTGGCCATGCTTGAACTGGCCTCTGTCCCGCCCACCAGTGCTGGAATTAATGGTGTGCACACCATATCCCATTCAACGTTGCAATTTTACAAATGTTTCTTTCTTTTTTGTGTGTGGTTTTTGTGGTTGTTTTGAGACTGGTTTCATAAAGGCCAGGACAGCCTCCACATGACTGGCCTTGAACTCCTAAACCTCCTACATCGAGGGTCCAAGTGCAAGGGATTCGAGGCCAGCATCGTCACAACCAGAGTCCATGTTTCTGTGCTATTATTAAGTTCTTCTTTCCTAATGTGTACCTAGTCCCATGGGGGCGGATCATCTCCTGGGTCACACCTGAGTTTCCACAGATGAAAATAGGTTTATCAAAAATAACAAAGTTCTGGCAGAGTTCTTAGCTTCTCAGGCAGGAAAAAACATTCAAAATCCTTTATCTCCCATCCTCCAACGCTAACAATATCCATCTGTACCCATCCTCTTCCCTGTGCCTCACCACCTACATCATCTCAGCCGTTTCTTTTTTTTAATCAAAATAAATTTGTCCCACATACTGGGAATATGGCTAAGCGGTTAAGAACACTTGTTGCTCTTGCAGAGCACACTGGTTCGGTTCCCTGTATCCACATGGTACATAAACACCCTTAACTTCAGTTCCTAGGGATTCGATGCCTCTTCTGATCTCTGGACCAGGCACACACGTAGTGCACACACATACACGTGGGCAAAACCTTCACACACATAAAATAATTAAGTCTTAAAAAGGTTCCTTTAAAGTTTTGCCTCACATTTACTTCCTGACAAGTGTGTCTCAAACACAGCACCTTGCCTTTTATTTCAGGGCATGTGCATCTACCTCGTTTGATTGTCCGTGAGAATGCTGGGGACGGGAAAGACAGCCCTAGTTTGAAGGTGAATCCTCATCTAAACCGGGAACTGGAGGGAGGCGGATTGGATCAGCGACAAGCTACGGAAGCAAAGTATTGTGGAGGCGCCGCGCGACCCTGGGAACCTCTAACCCTTACACTTTGGTGCCTTAAGAGCCTTGCTCACCTCGCCGTCCTCTCGGCCTGGCCAACCCTTCCGCAACATCAAAGCCACTGCGAGCTCAACCCGGGCCTCTGCCCACCCTGGTTACAAGAGTCAGGATGCCTGGCAGGCTCCATGACCCACCGACGTTCCCACGGGATCCACCAGCCGGGCCCGCCCCCGTCGCGCCTCCTCCGCAACGCGGCCCCCAGCAGCCTAGCACGCGCTCGCCCGGATCCCACAACACTCGCGACGGCATCCTTCGTCGCGCTGCCCCCGGGCCAGGCAATGGTGTAGCCCTCAGCTTCCGCTCAGTTCCCTCATCTCTTTGCCCATTCTAGCCTTGAGGACCCGGCGCCGCAGCACGCAGGACCGGGCCCCACCGCCCAACCACAGCTTGTTTACTCACTCACCCTCCATCCTGAGACGCAGGGACCCGCCGCTAGGACGCCTGCGCGCTGCAGCCACGCCCCTGCGCCGCGGCCACGCCCAGTGGCCACCCCCTCCTGGCGCGTGCGCATTCTGCGCGTTGATCACCTGGGCTTCCTTCTTCCCAGGTGTGTTTGGGCTAAATTCGTGTAGTCCTAGTCCGACACTTTCCTATTGGCGCTATCAGAGGAAAGAAAAAGCTCTGGAGAAATCTCCCTGGAGCCACGGATACCTTCTTGAAGACTTTATTCAGAAGCATACCATCCCCGACCGTGTTTAGACAACTTATGTCTCAAGTTAATGAAGTCAGCCTAGAATGGTTTCATTCTGCTGCCTCTCATCTATGGACACACACCCCAGATACCTGTGGGCTCAAAGTTATTGTTTTACTCATATTTGATTATTTCTGTCAGTCTCCCCTTCGCTTAAAAGTATAACTTTGTATCAAAATATCTCCACAAAGAGCTGGAGAGTTGGATGGAGGTCAAGAACACTGCTTTTCCAAAGGATCCAGGTTCAATTCCCAGCACCCACAGTACCCAGGCTCACAACCATCTGTTATTTCAGTCCCAGGGGATATGATACCTTCTTCTGGCCTCCAGTTGCCATGTACACAAGTGATGCATAGACATACAGGAAAGCAAAATATTACAATACATTAATGGCTAGGCTTAAAGGCAAGCCCCACCACATCTAGCCTCAATAATTTCTTTTAAACCTCTCCAGAAGAGATTTGAGGGTTTTTTTTTTTTTTTTTTTTTTTTTTGAGACAAGATTTCTCTGTATTGATTTGGAGCTTGTCCTGAAACTCGCTTTGCAGACCAGGCTGGCATGGAACTCACAGAGATTTACCTGCTTCTGCTTCCAGAATGCTGAGATTGGTATGGTGCTCCTTTGGAACAACTTTCAGAAGTTGTTTCTACCCTTTCACTATGTGGGTCCTAGAAATAGAACTCAGGTCATCAGGTCAGGCTTGTTAGCTGGTACCTTTGCCCACTAAGCCATCTTGCCAGCTTCAGCAGTACATCTCAATGTGATACAATAAGGGCACAAATTCACTTCTATATGTCCTTGACAAAAATACATGACTTCCATTACTTTTTTAAAGATTTACTTATTTTGGGCCGAGCTGTGGTGGTGCACACCTTTCATCCCAGCATTTAGGAGGCAGAGGCAGGAGGATCTCTGTGAGTTCCAGACCAGCTTGGGCTACAGAGTGAGTGCCAGGACAGGCTCCAAAGCTACACAGAGAAACCCTGTCTGGAAAAACAAACAAACAAATTTATTTATTTATTTTATTGTGTGTGCGTGCTTGGGTATATGTATGTGCACACCATGTGTGTGCAGACATGCTTGGAGACCAGAAGAGGGCCCAGGACTGTAGTTGATGATCATTTTGAGCCATCATGTGGGTGCTGGGGATCAAACCCTGGTCCTATGGAAAAGTAGCCAGTGCTCTTAACTACTGTAACATCTCTCCAGTCCCTACTATTCTTTTCCTTTTATCAAAAAAATTTGGAGGCAGGTATAATGGTGCATGACTTTAATCCCAGTGTGAGAGCCAAAGTTACATTTAAGTTTTGATTACTATGCCTTAGAGATCCATGAAACAAAAATGCCTCTGATCAGAAAGCCCCTTGCCCAAGGACAGATAGTTTCTGAAATGCTGGAGGCTGTTGCTCATGGGAGATAACAAGCCACAAGTTTTTCACTTTCCTAAATAAGTTTGACCCATCTGCATTGGATATGCTTCATCACATGTGGGTAGGAGGTTCATAGGCAAAAAGTCAGAGGCAGAGGCAGGTGGATCTCTGTGAGTTTGAGATCAGCCTGGTCTACAGATCAAGTTCCAGGACAGGCTCAAAAGCTACACAGAGAGGCCCTGTCTTGGAAAAAAAAAAAATCAATCAATCAAATAAATAAATAAATGGCTTTGGGTTCCTAAGCCAGTGCGAAGGTTCAGAGGGTAAATGTGCTTTCTGGGCTAGCCTGGTGACCTGGGTTTAATCCCCAGAATATCCATATAAAGGTGGAAGGAGAAAACCAACTATACAAAGTTATCCCCAAATACCCACGTGGCTGCAGCATTTCTACTGACCCACACCCATACACACACACTAATAATAATAATAATATAATAAATGAAAGTTTAAAATAAAATGCCACTTTACTGTCTTTCCCTTGTATTTATTCGTTCAATAACCAATCAAGGTAAATATTCCTATATTTATATTGGGTGGGAGGTTCCAGACAAGGTTTCTGTGTGTAGCCCTGGCTATCCTGGAAGTCAGTAGAGCAGGCTGTCCTCGAACTCACAGAGATTTTCCTGCCTCTGTCTCCCGAGTGCAGGGATTAAAGGTGTGCGCCGCCGCCGCCACCGCTGCCGCTGCCGCCACCACCCAGCATTCCTTTATGTTGTATTTGCAGCTTCCGATGATATTCTTTTATTTCTGATGCCTTCTGTATATGTGGATCTCAAATTTGGATCATACTAAGATTGTTTGGAGAATTCGAATTAACCCAAGAGGCCTGCCTTCCACCCTCCAGAAAATTATGTTTAATTAGTCTAGGTGACAGCCTGGGCTTTCAGAGTTTTTAAAACATTTGGTGTAATTGTAGCATGTAGCCGTTTGAGAAGTATTGCAATGAGAGCTGGAATCTTCTATTATGGAAACAATAGAAATGAGATTGATCCAAATGCGCAAGAAATTTCACGGGACTTCGACTCACGAGCAGGCAGGACACAACACTGACCAAAGAGATCAAACATCTCCCTGAACAAAGACAGGCATAAGCTTCTGTTGATTTGCTGGGGTGGGCTAACCGGCCAGCCTCATCTTGCCTGGAGGACTTCAGGTGCTTAAGCTGGTACAGCTGCAGAAAAAAAACTCGAGGCTGATATCAAAGACAGCATATGCCAGCCTTTTAACAGCAAGCAAGCTCAGCAAGGGGCCTTAGTCTATTTGCCCTTGTGGCAGAACCAAACTTTCTCAAAAATAACGTGTAATCTAAAGAGGTTCAGAAGATCTGAATATCAGTGAGACTATTGAAAAGTGTGGGAACCATCTGATGGGACCAGACCCTCACCCAGCCCCCTGCATTAGCAGCCATGATAGGCTGCAGAAAAGACCTAGCAAAACAAAGGCCCTGACTCAGCACATGTGCTTATTTTATGGACTTCTGACATTACATGAGCAGCCCTAGGTCAGATAGCCTCCATGTGGCAAGGAAGTGATGTACACAGCATGGCAACCACCCTGGGAGGGCCTATAGACCATAACAACCAGTTGACCAATCAACACAGGACAAGTCACTCAAGCAGGGAGGTGCACCAATCCTGAGACTGTTGGCGTACCCCTAGGTACTCCCCTTATGCTGCCCAGTAAGTTCCTAGCCTCCAGATTTCTCCGGGTCCTTCTCAGGCCAGCTCCCTTGTTGAACTGCCTATGAAGGGCCTGAGTAAATGCAGTTAACTCGTTAACAATAAAATACTCTGCATTTGCATTGGAAGGAGGGATTTTGGGGTTAAGAATTTGGGCACAACATATCAACATATTGGTGGTAACTAAAGCCAAGGGAGGGGACCTGGCTTAGGAGGTGTGCCAAGAAATAGCCGAGATGAGAGAAAGAAAAATTATGAGATAAGAAGGAAATTGATTATAGGGATGTTTCTGAAGTGGCCAGGAAGTTGCGGAGATTTGTGTGGAAGCTGAGGATGAGAGTTGGGTAGCCCAGAGTCCTACCTCCTCATTCAGTCTAGCTACATTACTGAGCTTCCCTTTTCAACTTTTTTTTTTTTTTTTTTTTTTTTTTTTTTTTCCCGCGACAGGGTTTCTCTGTGTAGCCCTGGCTGGCTGTCCTGGAACTCACTTTGTAGACCAGGCTGGCCTTGAACTCACAGAGATCCGCCTGTCTCTGCCTCCCAAGTGCTGGGATTAAATTTGGGTACCACCACTGCCCAGCTGTCAACTCTAATTTTCCCCCTTACAATAATTGGCACGTGACTAAGCACGGGTTTAGCAATCCTTGTCAATGAAGGACTATAAAAACAACTCTCCGCATTATCAGTGAGCATGAGGTTCCTAGGGGAAAACTTGTTTGCCAGTGGCCCTCCTTGATGTGCTGGGCCAGGTATTTTTCCTGAGACCAGTCAACTTTGTCAGCTGGCCCTGTTCCACCAGATACCGTCAGCCAGCTTTGTTTAGCCAGCTCTGAACCTCTTTTTTTCTTTTCCAACCTGTAGGTCTTTGTCCTTGGGGGTGGGGGGGGACAACAACTGTTGGCCAGTGGTCAGCAGCTGGACTTTGAAAGACAAAAAAACCAGGATCCCAGCCCTACTCTCCTCCCAGGCCCCACCCCCGGGAAGCTACGGAGAGAAAGGAATAACTGTGTCACTTTTGGCTTCTCACTGCTCATCTTGCTCTTAAATTGGAGGCCTCTGGGGCTGAGAGAAACTGGACACAGTGTGCCGACTGACTAGTCTAATAGGACGGGTTCTTTTTCTGAAAGTCCCCTATTGCGGAAAAATAAAATTATGTGTTTAATTTCTGAAACCTAATGCCTCATTTGCCTTGGCAGCCCTTCTGCCGGGCTTGGCCGAGAGTCTGGCAACACAAGTAGACTGATTAATACCAGCTCAACTTGCTCCCTGGAGAAGAGCGCTATTTACTTGACTATTTTCTTAAATCCTCTTTAATTTGCTTGTATTTCGGTATAATCGTATTGGTTTTAACATGTTCTGTTTCTGACCACCGGCCCAACAAGGCCCGGGAGAACTCCCTGCTCTGTCCCCTTCACAAAGCAAGATTTTGTTCAACCCAGTGATTAGAAATGGCAGGCACATCACGTGTTCTGTTCCTTCTGGGATGGGCAAGTTCTAAGTGTACTTTCATCCCCTGGTAGAAAAGGAAAGATGAGGCTTCTCAATAGGGCTTCTGTACTCTGCCATCCTCCCTTCCAACCTGCGTTCCCTTCAGATGGTGACACCACCCCCACCGTCCATCCTGACCCTCCCTTGTGAAGCCCCCAGGGATATCAAATAACAAGTGTTGGAGGGGGA